GGAGGTGCTCGGTGATGATTTTTGCGCCCAAAACATCTTTTGCTTTTTGCGAGAACGCGGAATATAGGCCACAATCTTATTTGAGAGATAAGGACAATGTATTTTCTTGGCCCCTTTACAGCCAGTTCTACTTTTGTTATAAATATTACGTGTTCGTGGTATCGTCTTGACCTTCTGTTGTCTACTTGTATATTTTGTGCAGTATTCAAGCTCTTTTTACTTTCTTGTATACGGACGTATATACGGAGTAATATACTAGGTAGAGAAAGTTATGTAATGCTGCGTAAAATCGATTTCGAGATTTCAATGAAAATACACGTATTTTCGTCCCGATAACGAAAAAGTGTGTGCGTGTGTACGTATGTGTGTGTCTTTTTTTCTCCCAAAACTTCCGTCCGTCTGCACGTGTCACCACGAGCGCCTAAACCAAACGTAGGATTTTTTCCAAAATGGATATTTTCGGTCGATCCGTTTCGACTGGAGGCGCTGCGATTTTGGAAGACTTTCTTTAAAATTTGGGGGTACTTTACAGGAAGCCCCAGGGACCTTTTCAAAATCTACACGACCTTTTCTCAAAAATAGCTACAAATAGTTTCTTTAAATTTTTTAAAAGAATAGAGTAAAATACACTTATAACATAGGTCCGTTTGTCATTGTTAACTCTCAATTTTCGAAAATTGCAAAAGTTTGATTTTTTACAATAACTTCCTATAACTACAAAATTGAAGATAGATTATTTTAAAGTATAATTTGTTTTTCATATCCAGTTCTTTCACTAAGTTCATGTACTTTATTTGAAAATTTGAGTATCGTAGTTTTCACGCAATATTAAAAAATAACAAAAACAAGATTTTGTGGAAATGGTTCAAAATGTTTTGCTTACCTTTTTGGTGGGGATAGTGCTAAATGTACCTACCCTATAGGATGGCATAAATGCCATATTCCTTTATTCTTTTTTTTTTTTTTTTTTTTTCAACAATCTTTACAAAAATTATTTTTTGTATTTCTTTCATGTTATATGACATTAGTGGTTATTTGTTCACCACTTTTTATGGGTACGTGTGATGTAAATAAGGTCATGAAGTTTTTCTCTCGAAATCTCAACAGGTTTCTGTGAAAATATCATTGGATCCCAAAATTCTCAATTTTAAAAACGCTCAAACATTAATTCTCTCAAATGGACCCTTTTTTTTTTTTTTTTTTTTTTAAACTTTTCTATTGGATAGTGCTAATTGCAGTATTTAATATGACATTAAGTTCTCTCTTTTTTTTTTTCAATTACACAAATGTAAGTTTTTAAAATATTTCTCAGGCTATTTTTATGCACACTATCAGTGATTTGTAAACACTGTTGTATTTGCGAGTTAAAGTGCCTCAAATGTCTTCAATTGAAGTTTTTTTGAAAACTCAAAAATGTTCTGTGAAAAAGAGCTTCAGATTTCGCATTTACAGTAACACTTAACCTCTATTTTCTTAAAAAGACTCCAAATTTTTCAATGAAAACTGTCACTTAAGAGGGGGTTTTACTGTTTATTATTTTTATAGTAGTATTTAGGTTCTACTATTAGGAATCTGAAAAATGGAAAAATAGTCAAAAAATGTACTTTGGGTAGCGATAGATGGCAGCTTGTGAGAATATGTGGTAAACCCGAATAGCTAGCCCAGAACAAAGAAAATAGAAAACTAATACAAGAAAGTCTGTGCCATTCCGTGGCATTACTAGTTTAGATTATGTACACACTTTTAATCAGCGGATAAGTTGGATGTGCGACATTCCTTTTATCAAGCCAGTTTTAATTTTAAAACAAATCTTTCATGTGGGTGCCAGTGACTTCAGTAGTTGAAGTGCTCTGTAAATTTTAATTAATCAATGAGTTATGGGTTTTTCATGTGCGGAATATGTACCCTTTGCACCATTTTAAATGCCTAAGGTTCGGCCGTACCCGACAAGTGTCCATGGCAAAAAGCCTGGTGTGCACAAGGTGCAACAACTCAAGTGTCCGAAACAACCCTTTTTACACTGCCGCATTGGGTGAACTGTTACGGCACTGGGCATCAGAAAGAAAAATAATATTAATGTTTATAATGTTTAATGAATTAGTTATCAGTTGTTCTAAAAGAACATGTATTGTACCTCTAGTTCTGGGTTAATGATCCCCATCTCAATTATGATTTTAGTTCTTTCCCTGATCCTTTGAGCAGAAGCTGAGATGGTCCCTTGATTTTCATCTCCACATAAATGTAATTTCACTATCTGTACTCATTATGTTGAGCTCAGTGGGAAATATAGTTATTCAAATAATCATCCTTCGTATTCTTGTAGCAATAAGTCTGTTCTTTCCCATAGAGCACTATTAGGGATAATAGATAAAATGTGTAGCTAATTTGCCTTTGAAAATAGTTATTGTGTAGAAGAAGCAAATATTTACTTATTGGTTCTTGCCAAAACCACTTGTTGCTTCTTTGTTCATGATTAAACTTATACGAGTTAGGATAGAGATCCAATACCTCAAGAAACTGCAAGGATTGTAATATGTAATAAATAAATAATTAACATAAAAAGTCCTAGACAGCTCAACTGATTTTAATAATTTTTGAGGTTTAGGTAGATCTTGATCTAACTTATAATCTTATATCACTTTGATAGTTCGATATTGATGTGGTCTGATATAAAGGAGTGAATCTACTCAAATCTAGTGTTTTTGGGCTGTCTCCCTAGTGAGTACTAATATTTGGAAGTAATTAAGACAAAAATCTGTTAAATGGAGTCCTCTGGAATTACTTGGAGACCTGAGATTTACATTATTTTTGTATAACAGATAATTTATTTTCTGAGAAGTTTTATTTTATTTCCAAAAATTCGTATTTCTAAAGTGAATGTTTTGCCAGGAATGCTTTTTTTTCTATATATACACATTTTCTAGCTCCACTAATGCTGAATCGTATTGTGTAAAACACAATTTCATAATATGCAAAGCATAATAATTTTCACTCTCTTTATCCATGTCATGTGTTGAAAATTATGGGATTGAAACTCAAAAAAATACTATTTGAGTTAAACCCCTAGTTAAGTATCTTTTTTCATGTGCAAAAGAAGTAAAACTACATTGCTACTCGTTCCTTTGAGAGTTCAAGTCTAGTTGTTAAGTATATAGTTATGTTTAATATTGGAATACTTTTTTCTTCTGATGAATTTTGATCCTATGCCACTGTTAATTTCTATGGATGATGACATCTTCAGTTCTAGTGCTTAATGGTACCTTTATTACAGCTTATAATCTTCTATATATAATCTTGTTAATCTCTGGAATGGATCTATTACCAAATTCTTAATTTTATAAATATTTCCATCAAGTTCTGAATTGCCCTAACTTGCAGTTATTTTCATATTTAGTTATTTTACTAATGCCTTTAAACCAACATGCAGTTATTTTCATATTTAGTTATTTTACTAATGCCTTTAAACCAACATGCAAAATAATTATATTAACTGTTATGCATCATTGGTGGAAACCAAGAAAAGATTCTTTAGAAATGGGTAACTTCAGCTGCAGAGGTGTCAGGAAGTGTTGATTTCATGTGTTGCAGATCCTGGAGGCCTTTGCTCGAGCTGAGAAAAAACTTAAACCTAATTGGAAGGAAATGTTCCAGGATGTCTATGACACCATGCCAGAACACCTTGTGTAAGTAGACGAATACTTTCTCACAATCTTAACCCAAATGTAAATCTAGATGTTTGTAGAATGTTTTAAAAATAGAATTGAAAACAGTAATTAGAGTTGGATTTTGTTAAATTATTTTATTGAAAGAATACTTTTATACATTACTTACGTAAACTGATATTGCTGAGACATTTAAAAATGATTGTACTTCAGTTAATCATTTCAAGAGGATAATGAAATCACAATGATTTGAATGTGGTTCAATTTTATTTACAGGTGACCACCTAAATTTCAGAACACAGCAAAATTTTGTTACAAATGTTATATTTTAAGTGTTTGTTAACATTTATCTCTTTGCAAAACAGAATGAAGAACATCAAATTCCAAAAGCTAATGGAACTAATTATTATTAATGTAGTTATGAATAATTTATGTGTAGATAAATATTAATTCTGATGATTAGTAACTACGTATTTTTGTTTGATTGGTGGTCTCGTAAAGTTCATGCAAAAATGTGATAAAATTGCCTTTTCAGTTCTAATATATTGAAAACAAATTTCATAGGTAAGTGTTAGTGAGGAACAGTGTTTTAATTGTCATTATAGGAATGGTAGTAAACTCAAAAGCAGCCTCAAGGAAATGGATGGGGATTCTTTTCACTTAGACAACAAATTTTTAATTTAAAAACGTTAGTATTAAATTTGAAAAGAATTTAAAAAATGTAGAAAAACGTGATTTTTTAGAAATTGAAAATGGTGGTTGAGGGTGAGATTCAACCCTCCTGAAATCACCAATGTAAAAGTGCCAGTCTACTTTTTTTTGCCATTTTGTATATAATTATATATAATTTTTCTTCTAAATGTTAACGAGCTTTTTGGTGTAAATTGTCAATGATTAAGTATGTTTTGTTTTGTTAATGAATTAATTTATTTTAATGAATTAATTTATTTATTTTGCTTTTGATTTCAGAGAGCAAATGATTCAACAAGAAAACCATGTTTTGAAGCACAAGGATATTTACCCCCTCTCACAGTATAAATTTTAGAGATACTAACATAATTGTTATAACCAATTCAATATTTCAAGACTGAATTTCAGGGATATCTTTTTAAATCAGTTTGTTATAAGCAAGTATTTTTGTTACTTGTAGGTGGTTAGTTGTGTGTAATTATTCATGTTAAAAAAAGTTGTGATCTCTTGAATGATTTTCCAAAAGTTGGATGTATTGTTGTATTTTGTAAAGGAATCTCAATTGACATGTAATAATGAATTGATAATTTCTTAAATGTATATTTTTTGTTCTAAGAAATGTGTTTTAAAACTTTTCTTTTTTTATTACCTATTCCCTGTAACAACTCCATTTTCAAAGATTTCACTAAATATCTATTTGCTGCAACCTGTTGGTACGAGTACCTGTTGGAATTGGCAGCAGCAACGTTCCCCAACGTTAACAAATTCCCATGCATGTTATGGATGGTTGCGAATTCCCATCACATTCGTGGCACGCATCGTGTCGTATTATGAGCGTTTGGAGTATAGCGTGCGTGCTTGGTATTTGAATGCCGGGTTGTGTATTATCTTCCAGGGTGAGCCGCAGTGCGTTGGAATGCAGGAAATGTGTGAGAGTTCCGGTGAAAGCTGATTCACTGTCCACGACTGAGTACAATCGCGGCTTCGTTAAAGTACTGTCGATTGGGCTCGTAGTATTTAAGTATCTGCATGTTACCACCCGTTATCGCCTGCTATTTTTAAGAAGATGGCGACTGTAGAAATGATATAGCGTTTTCGGTGAATTTTATACTTTCCTTTCATAAAGTAGGCGCGTCGAGAGGGCTCTGGTTTGTATGCATCGTCCGAGGCGGAGTGAGGTTACAAAACTGTTGTGTGTAAATATGGTGGTATGTGCCCGTCAAATCGTATGTGAGCCGAAAAAGTGAATGAAATTAGAGATAACTGGCAACACTGTCCGTCATTCCCTCACTGACAACTTGCCATATACACGCACCCGCACACACCCCACTGTACCCCACTGTTTGTCATGTTGCTGTTACATTGAGGGTTGGATAATAATGTAATATTGCTATGGGAAATAAAATAATCGCTGTTTATGTGCAGCTGCCCTCGAATGTTTGTTGGAGAAATGAATGCAGTATTGTTTAAAGAAAATGTTTTATTTGCATGTTGTTGAATAAAGCGTAATTTAAAGAATTTGCCATTTTTGTAAAACATACTTGAGATTTTATTAATTTGTTGTGTTGCGGTGCAACTTGCAACGATATGGCATTTCCTGCTTTGGGTGCTTAATATTGACAGGCTGAAATGCCGTTTAAATTGCGCTTAAAGCGAAGTCGTCAGTATAATGTCGTATCAAAATCGCTTTTTGTAATTACCATCGAGCTATTGGACGGAAGCAATATCGAGTGCACATTGTCTGCCGAAAGTAGTGGACAAGAATGTTTGGAAAGTGTGTGCCAGAGGCTGGGCCTCCAGCAGGTTAGTTGAAGCTCGTCTGCTTTTGACGTTTTTAAATGTCATTGCAAATTTTTAGCTTTCTGTCGTATACGTAACCATGAAATATACACCCCATTAGGGTGCTTCTGGTAAAATGTAACAGTGCACAAAAATAAATATTACCCTAATGATGTTTTCCAATATGTTTTTTGTGCACATCCTGGTCCGAGGTTGTGGGTAAAGAAATTGGTAGCAGAAGAAGATGTCACAGTTCTTTGATGTTCATTCTATTGTAATGAAGGGCCTTGGCAATTTGTCAGGACTTGCCAATTTATTAGGTGTATTCTTAAATATGAAAGTGCGTGTTACCAAAATCACTCTTAAATTTTATATGCAGTGATATATGTGGTATTGTATATGGAAGTTAGAAAAAGTAGTGATGAAACTTTTGATGTTGCAGCCCGAATTTTTTGGTCTTCGATATACTTGGCGTCAAGGATCTGGACCTGCACCATCTCGCTGGGTAGAACTAGAGCGACCTCTGAAGCGACAGCTGGACAAGAATGCTCGTGGCAATGTCCTGCTGCTACGTGTTATGTACTATGTGTCTGGGGTTCACCATCTCCATGATGAGATGACGAGGTCAATATAAATAAGACTTGTTATCAAATTTTCATTGGGAAACAAAGAACTATAATACTGGAAATATATTATTCCTAATGTGTTACGAGTTGCCCATACATATGCAATAATGTTTACATTCTGAATTGTATTCAAAAAGAAAATCAAATTATGTGAAATCAATTAACTTCTCTTTCTTAAGGTTGAAGGCAAGACAGTTTTGTGTGAGTGTAACAGTGATGCTACTAATAATATATATACTGCTCTGTTTTATGTACACTTAGGGAAAAATTACTTAACACTGATTAAAAAAAGAAACCTCTTGCAAGCCTATTGCCTGTTGTTTGTAGACATGAATTTATTCCTCCATTCCTCCGCTTTTCTGTTCTCCCCATTTTTTCTGTTGATCTTCCAATGACTTTATCCAATTTTATTTTTAGATCTGGATTTTAGATGCAATTTTGCCGCTTGTTTTTTGTTTTTTTAAAATTTTTTTTCCTTTCCTGACTTAACTCTTCTAATTTCCTTTCTTTGAAAAGCCATTGTTTCAGTTTTACTTATTGAGGTGAACAAATCATACAGAGTTTGGTTGCTGCGATTTATAAAGTTTCTTCTGTTGCTATCACAATTATCAGGTCATATGCATAGAGTATTGTTTGTATGTTTTTGTTTTTTTCTTGTTGAGGCATATTCGATTTAAAAAATAAAAAAAAAATGTTTGTGTGTGCAAGTTCAATCATGAGTTCCTTTCTAATCTGTGACGACATTCATTGTTTTGGAGGTCTTATGACATTAAGAAACGTCTCGTACATTTTTAGTTGTGTGTGATATGATTTTCAGAATTTGAATAAAAATTAGTGTGAAAAACTTTGTGATAGTGAAAAAGAATTTCCCTTTATTTAGTATTCCTTTTAAGGCTCAAATATGTGTCATTATCTTTTCAAGTATTACGTGTTTTTAATTCTATATTGTAGAATTAAATTACCAACAAGTGAACTTTATGTTCACTTATTGTATTGGTTGTTTACAATACTGAATTAGCCATGCAATCACGAATTATAGGAAGGTACATGTTCTAAAAAAATATCCAACTATGTGATAAAATTTAAAAAATCATAATATGATTTTGTCTATTATTTGTTGTTGAAGGTACCACTACTTTCTGCAACTCAAAACTGATCTTATAGAAGGTCGCATGCACTGTGATCAGAAGCAAGCAATACTTCTGGCCAGCTATGGTATGCAAGGTAAGGACATTAACAAAACATAATATAATATAACAGAACAAGAAAATTTTTCTTTTGTTGGATTTGATTTCCATAGTTAACTTACCTAATGGCAGAATTAAAATTTTTTTGGTGTGTCTTATTTAAGGTACTGTGTTATGCCCTTTTTTTGTTTGATAAAATTTAACAAATTAGTTCTAGTTTTTTGTCCACTCCCCAACTCTGAATAAATGTGTACAAATAAACAATGTTGTCTTTTGGCATGGACTTAAGGGTAGTTTCCAGGGGCTCAAGGATTCTGCTGGAATTCCCTGCCCCCCCCCAGGGAAATCTAATATCTACTCAAATAAAAATTAGTTTACATTTTATATTCAACAAATGTGTACGTTTCCTCACTTTTGTAGTCGAGAATCAAGCTAGTTTGGTACTTGTAATAAAAAATACTATATATACATATAGAAATTGTTGCTTTTAACTTTAAATTCCAAAAACGGATAGGGGCCTTTATGTCAAGTTTTTCTAAAGGTCGCTAATGCTGTTATGATGGCCCTGCAAATATAGGAAATAGATTAAGTGAACAGTGTAAGATTTTTATGTTGTATACTTACTCTTTCAGCTGAGTTCGGCAACCATGATCCTGAACGTCACACTGCTGAGTACTTGACAGACTTTAACATGCTCCCAAAGGTTTGTAACAATAATAACAACAAAAGCAAAAATAATAATAATATTGATATTGATAATGATGTCTTATTTGTTGCATTTCGAAATGTGTATTACAAGTTATTGAAAATTTCAATTTTTTTTGTATATTATAGTTTACTTATTGGGTGTCCTCTGTGACAGTTCCAAACTCATTGATTTTGAACATGAACTCTGGGTTAATTTAGCCACAGAATAGCATTTATTCGCAAGGATGAAGTGGAATAGCATTGTATTTAAAAACTCAAACTTTTAATGCCCAATACACTTCTCTACACGAATTGAATTTCAATCCAGCCTTTGGCTACGCAATTAACATTAAACATCATTGAGTATTGTCCAAAGCATTATTTCTAATGCATTTTAGAACTGTTCTTTCTGTGGAACATGTCCTGCTGCATTGAAAGAAAGTTGTTGGCAGTCGACAAAGACATTGCTTAGACAACTACTTATGGGAGGTGCTCAGCGATGATGATTCCATACTCTTTAAAGCTCTTTTGTGTTTTGAACGAAAGTGGAATATATAATTTTATTTGAAACATAAAGATAATAATGCTGTACATGTTTCTTCACCCTTTTAAAGTCAGTTTTACTTTTGTTATAAATATTGCATGTTTGTTTCATCATCTTGTCTTTTTGTTATCTTCTTGTATATTTTACGCAGAATTCAAGCCTTCCATTTTAGGTTATGTACATGCTTTTAATCAGTGCCTGTGCAACATTCCTTTTATTAAATGTATTTAAATAAAAAAAAATACTTTGGCACGGACACCGACCTCAGTAATTGAAGTGCCTTCTAATCAGCCAATCAATCAATCCAAATTAATTTTTGCCAAACTCTTCAGTCACGCCTAACGCATGTCGAAGTTCATAACGAAGTTCCTAATCTGGTCTTTGGTTGACCCAAAAAAGTATAAAACATCTTTAAGCCTGTCCAAAGCTTAGTTGGTATTGAACATTGAGTAGCCAAAGTTTGTGTTGACAATACCAAGTATCTTTCATGGTTTCCCACAATATTTACTAAGCTCAGCTCATTACTATTGTGTGCTTTTTTTGTGCAACTCAATCGCCATGCAGTTATCAAAATGACTTATAAACTTTTACAATTGTTAGTTTGGCAACATATTTTATACAATGGAGTGCAAACACTATGTAGATACCCCATAAGTAAAGTTCAGCCTCAGTTTCTGTATATTAACTTTGAATTTGTGTTAGATATGTAGAGTAATTTTACATTGTTATTGTAGCTAAGCATGTTATATTTTAAATTTGGAGTTGTGCAATACTGATATGCATAATGGTTTGCAGTATTTCACTGAGCACAGGAGTCACTTGGAGAGCATGGTGGAAGCTGTGATCAGACAGCATGCTTTACTTGCGGGTCTAGCGCAAGGCACTGCAGAAGAGTTCTACATCCTTGCCGCCCAGCAGTTGGATGGTTATGGTCAGGAAATCTTTCCAGCCAAGGTGTTTTCTAATTTCTCTATGGCAATGTGTATCTTAGTAATTATAAATTAGAACTGCAGAACTTCATTTTCATTATTTTAGAATGTCCCAAAGATGTTTTGTGATAGTTCTGTATGCATTTATTCTGCTTGTCTTTTGATAAGTAATTTCAAATTGCACAGTGAAGAGAAAAGAGTGTTCAAACAGAATAAGAAGTTCAAAGAAATTAAATAGTTGTTCTACAGAATGGAACAGACTTTCTTGTACTATTTTTCTAATTTCTTTGTTTTAGGTTCCAGTACTTTTTGGTCTTGCCACTTATTCTTGCCAGCTACTATCTAAACTGCTTAAAATCCTTTTTTTAAAATTTTCTAAAGTGTTCATATTTCTAATAATACAACAGAAGTATTACTGGAAATGTGCATATTAACTGCATGAGAGATATTTTTAAAAAATTAGGTTTTTGCAATAATTGAATAAATGAAAGAATAAAGCAAAATGAATTTTACATCATCTTAAACAGTGCAATTAGCACTATCTGTACAAAAATAGGAAGAAAAAATCTGAGCAGTTTCTTTGAAAGTGAAAAATTAGAGCTCATTTTCACATAAGAGTTTTGAGTTTTTCAAAAACTTAATAAGACGACATTTAATGCACTCGTAAGTGTAGTAATGTGAACAAATCACATCTAATGTAAATATTATCAATGTGAGAGACAAGCAAAACAAACAAACAAATAAACATTTGTGTAATTTAAATAAAAGCAACAAAGTGAAATGGTGTTTATGCCATCTTATACAGTACATTGAGCCCTCTCCTTACCAACAGTTTAAAGATCTGGCCTGAGTTTAGCCTGAGTCCTAAGTCTGAAGTCCATGGGTAATTTTCAAAAGTTTCTCAACAATGGCTCCAAATTTTTGCTTTAAATTTCGTGTAAGAATAGAGTAGAATACACTTATAAACATGGTGTAGGTCTGATTGCCAGTGATAACTGAGGGGCATCATATAAAGTATTTCCTAGAAGTAATGAATGGTTTTCAGAATCGCAGGGCTTCGTGTGAGGCCAGATTGAAGTTTTTCTTTTTGTTTTCTTCTTCTTCAGTTTGGAAAAAATCGTACACACAGTTTAGGCTCTAGTGTAGTTCACAGATGACAGACAGATGGACGTTTTGGAAAATAACACTTTTTTGGTATTAGAGGACCCCAAAACATGTTTCTTTGTTGAAATCTCAAAATTGATTTTTTGCAGCATTACATAACTTTCTCTGTACAACCATATATATGTACTTATAGTGTTCAAGAAAGTACTATACTATTGTATATATATATATGTATGTACATGTACATATGGCCTTGCCGTTTTCCCTCTCCCCATCTCTTCTCTTTTTCTTCATTTTCTCCTGTCTCTTTTCTCCTTTTTTCAATTTACATCTTTGTTTCCCTAATCCCTTTTGTCCATTTCTTCTCTCTCTCGCTCTCTCTCCCTCTCCCCTCTTTCCAGTTTAAATGTAATAACCTTTTTAATTTACGTTTTAGGATGAATCAGGTGTGGAAGTTATGGTTGGTGTTTCCCTTAATGGCATACTCGCTGCTTATGACTCAACTCAAAAATTCTATAAGTACGTATGAACCATTCTGATCTCAACCCGAAGATCGCTCGTTGAGTATCATGCTATTGAAATTGTTGAGAATGATATAAACCTACAGTCACATTTTTGGAAAAATATAGATTTTTTGACGCACTTCAATTAGAAACTGCATATAGCAGTACCTTTCCATATACTATGATAATTAGATAACACTGCAGTGACCCAGTGTTCTTCACATGTTAATGTATGCTATATTGTTCTCTGCAAACTTTGCTTTTGCTCCCCTGCAAAACATACTTGTGGCTTCAGGCTTTCTCATTCTCAGCGCTTCATTTAAATGATATTGAATAATTGGCAATGTCCAGATTGTGCATGAATTCATCAGTTCCTAATGTTTATGTCAGATTTGTAAAGGGTCTTTATTTATTGCAATCTTTAGTTAAAAAACAAGTGATGACTGATTGCTGTTTAGAAAGAATGTATGTTGTTAATTTATAGTAGAAACATACAGGGCATGGCGCAGCAGATTCAGTAGCACATACAGAGCTTAAAGCAATGCCAACTGTTGCGAATAGTTGAAAAGTGGCACAGTTGATAGCACAACAGTTGGGTCATATGAAATATGTATTTAAATTGGAAATTATTAAATTGTGAATGCAGTGTGTTCAGGGAGGAAATCGATAGTATTAGGTCATGGGAGAGCGTGAATGATAGCGGTGTGGTTCATGGGTACAGGAGCATTGGGCATATCACCATTTACCATATTTCATGATAATGAAAACTTTGGGTTTGTATAAATAGAAATAGGTTGCAAATTTATGAGTTACGAATATATTAACTGGGACTACTACTTAAAGAATCCATTGTCTGAGTAATGTGTACCCCATCCATAATCACATGTAGGGGAGTTCAGATCGCTTACAGTTTGTAGGCAGTCTATAAGAATTCATGCAACTGTTCTAGAACGTGCCGTGCCACACCATGCCACTTGGTATATTCTAATGCTCATAGTCATATATGAAATTGTTCTTGCAACGTTGTGTCACGTATGTTTCTTCTGCTGGAAACAAATAGAGTTACAGAGATGTTTTTGTGTACTTGTGCATACACTAGGACCACCCTGAGGGAATGACAATATGCTGATTGCCTGAAAATCTACACAACAAATGTTCAAGAGAAATGACCAGGGTCTTTTGCCCATATTTCAGTAAGCACTGAGTATCGAGACCTTTTTAATAGTGTTGATTGGAAGTACTAGTGAAGTGACTGGAAAAGCCACTACAGAGATAAAGAATTATTTACATACTCTGTCTTTATATGTTTGTATTATTAAGGAATGAGTTAAGTGAGAGCATAGTATTGGAAAAAGATATAATTCAATGTTGAACACTTCTGTATAATGATTACTGTTTAATTTATCATTTGTGAATTTGATGGATTCATAGCCAGGTTTCTTGGTGAAATCCAATTGGTAGGCAAACTGAGTTTTATTGGACTCTTTAGTGTTATGAAAATTCCATTCATTATTGAGTTGGAATAAGAGTTGGAGTCAGTGCATGACAGAAGTAGAGAGAAGAAAGTTAATGCTTTCAAGAGTATATCAAATAATACTTTTTGAGAGGCATCTTATGCAGACAAACTAAAGGTGTGATGCAAAATAATTGTGTTACAATACATGAAAAATAATTAAGTTGTAAAAAACATTACTGATTCCGGGTTGGACAATAACTTTCTCTGATATTCTATTGTTGGTTTTGTGTTATACAGCATTGAGTTTTGATGTCATTTCTTTTGTTACAGCTGGAAGGACATTACTAATGTTATCAACCATAAGCGTCACTTTGGGATAGAGTGCCAGCTGTCATATGAAAATACTCAGTTTGTATTTCAAGATCCTGAATTAGCCAAATATGTTTGGCGCATGTGTGTACACCAGGTATAGGGACATTATAGAAATGTAAATTACTGAAATATATGGAAATTTAGAGTTACTTTGTAATAAAATTATAATTTTCAATCCAAATCAAAAAGGCAGAATGTCTGAATGCCGAGAGAAGATTAGGTAGGAGATTAATGTTTTGCTTACTGTTATAGCATACGTTCTATATGCAGCAGCACGAAAATGTTGCTGAAAACTCTGCACCTGGTGGAACAGATCCAAACCAACAAGGCACAGTCTTCCACAGTGCTGAGGTGAGTCTCTATGATTTCGAGAATCTCTCTTGTTGATGAAATTATGCATATTTTTTAAAAATTAAATTGATCGTTCAAGTTCATTAAAAAATATAAATATCTTGTAAATAAAATTTCTGTTTTTCAACTTTTCAAGTTGCTAACCCTCAAAACAGATTTGCATTCAAAGTTAGAAAGATAAATTTGGTTTTTGCTGCCTACTCTCAAGTGGAACCATGGATCACAAAAAATCTAAGAATCTGTTAATATAAAATTTTGTAAAACTCTAGTATTTCTCTGACGAAAAGAAAAATATGTGATAATGTTGTAAATAGGAGTTAAGAAAAATGAAGAAATTAGTCAATTTCTCCTGAAATTGCTCTCTTATTTTTAAAATTATTTGGTAGAAAAGCTGTAAGGATAATGAAGATTAGTTAGTGTAATTAGTAATTTACACTCTCAAAATGTGATGTGCAGGCCTCTTTGCCACTCACTTTTCCTATTGTTTTCATGCTACCCTCACTGTCCAAATTTTTTCTGCAAAAACTTGCTGTGCTCACATTTTTTACTAGAATTTTTAATTTATTTCTATATAGTATTATAAGTATAATAATTCTTAGAAAACTAACGAATAAACATAGAGTAAAAAGTCAACACAGCTGGAAACTAGTTGAAAACATTTGGAAGAAAGACAGACAAAGGGAACAGGCTTTCTAACTCAGGTAGAGGTGGTGGTGAGTTAAGAAAGTTTCTAGTATAAGTACTTGAAATGAATTTAAAATTGTAGACTTAATTTCTTTTTATCCGTGTTATTCATTTCCATTAATATTTAAAAAGTGTAGTTTACTGCTGTGCGTAATGTTGGTTTGTTATGTGCATGTGTCGCAATTGATTCTATTTTTTAGTCAAGAAAATGCTATAATGTCCTGTTTTTAAGACCTTATGTTACCTTTATTCAGAGTGAATGAAGCTACAAATATCATCTGTAGTTTACCCATGGTGAAACTGTGTCTGATGTGTGCCAGCAGTCTTTTAGCGAAAGAAAGACCGCTCCATGGTGCAAGATACAATCGAGCAATACTTGAAATACAATTGCACCTGTTATATTTATTACATCTTGTTATACTTGTTACAGCATTGTTACATTGGGGTGTCAAATCCTGCTCTATATCACTCAATTTTGCATTTTCATTTCGACTTAGTATTCTAGCAATAATTTTTAAAGTAAAATATAATGATTTCATCTGTATCATTGTTGAAGTATCAATTCCAATGCCACAAATTCTTTATCTAAGATAATTTACCATATCATTCATAATCACACAAATCGTTTCCATTTTCCAAAGCCATGATATCATTTAAAAGTAGCTCAGGCAAATATTGCTGCAAAGAATAAAAGTCATTCTCAAGATTTCTCATGAATAGCATTCGCATTCACATTTATGAAGTATATTTTTCTTTATGAAGTATATTTTTCAATTTGAAGTGAGAAGTATACCACATTAAGAACAAAATAGCAACAATATATGAAGAATAACCTAGATATAATGTAAATATAATGCATTAACACAAAATGCACTAATATGCCATATAAAAGATTTGAATTTGTGTTAGTTTGATTGTGTTTTGTGGACATTTGAAAATTAACATATTATAAAGCTCATAATTAAAAATATGATTTTTCATAAACTTCCGAACCTTAGCCATCATGAAAGGGAAGTTGGCAGATGTTCTCATTTTGGGCCTGTATCATGAAGTGCACAACATAGCTATGCTTGTACCTGCGACACTTCTTTTATTGTAGGTTTCCGTGCGTTCTGGAATTGATTCCTACTTCACTCTGTCCACAGTTGTCATTCAAATTATGGTATCTATGTAACATGTCTCTAGAGTGATGGAAAAAAAGAAGACCCTGTTATTTTAACATACATTTAATATGTTCTAAGGCTGAAGGTTTGGTTCAGTACAATATTATGTCTTTTACTTCATTTAAGTCTTCAGCTGGAATTGGTATTATAATTATTTATGTGCCGCGTATAATTTTTACAATGATGACTGAATTGTGTAGACTTAATTTGATATTTTTTCTCATAAAATTGAAGTTGATTTTTATGTAAAAGAATGCTTACCTATAATTTAACTTCTTTGGTATCAATGAAGGATGGCCACCTGAGTGAGAGCCGTGAAGAGCTGGATGTTCATGAGCTGGCCCACTGGAATGCTTCAGGCTGTACAGTGCAACGAGCGCAGTCCACCTCCTGCTTGGATCTGAGCAAGAACACTGAACTGGATAGACTGAGGTCAGTATTGATGCTAAATAAAAGACAGCTATATATTTTCAGAATGTGACACCATATACGACACAGAAAACCGGACCTCAAAAGTGTTTCATTTAAGTATAATATCAAATGAATTTTAAATCCTTATGTACCAATAACCTTTATAGGTGTTAACTATAACCACACCATCCGGTGGCTGCACCGATTCACCTGACTACCTGATTACGGCGATCCAGCGTTGCCCCGGCTGTTCAGTCTGTAGACTCTTTAAAGGGAGGCATGAGTGATAGGGCTTATTCTCGTTCAAGAACTGCATTGAAACAGCTGCATTTTCAAAGGTGGATTTAATATTTCCTTTTTCATGAGGCGAAGTTTCCCGTTATAAATACTTATTAAACCAACTTACAACTATGTTATCTTGCATGCGGCCATACGGGCCTGAGTTCGCCCTTTGACGCAGGGCGGGGCCCTTCCCGACTGCCATGAGGCCGGTTACGGACGCGGCGGCCGTTCGCCCTGGCGCGGCGCGGTCAGGCGTCGGCAGCGCCTCGCCTGACCCCTTTGCCCATAAGCAAGGTGGTCGGGGCGGCAAGTGGCGTGGTGGCATCCCGGGCGTTAGTAACCACCGGTCCGGGCATCGGTGGCGTGGCTCATGGCAGCGGTGGTTATGCCTCGGCCCGTCGTCAGTCCTGGGTTAGAGTTCGGGTACCCAAGTCATTTCTCGAGGCGTTCGACCTTGCCCTAGGAACCCCAGAGGCGGCCCGCGATGTGGCGATGACGCATTCACGCGCGGCGTGGTGGCGTCTTGCGGCGATGCGGCAACGCATTCACAGGCGCCCCATAAGATACCAAAGAAACTCGCCCGCGACCCTACTTCCGAAAGACACTTCTGCTTACACTTGCCTCTTTCGAAATGGCACTTCTGCTCGCTCTCGCCTGTCACATCGGAATGATACTCTCGCTCTCTGAGAGCTTCGCCAAGTTCCGTTGAAACTCAAACGTCACTCAAGTTTTAAGAACAGGCGACGCTGAATTCCTGGGTGTTTGAGACGGCACCGTCTGTATTTCCCGATGAGTCAGTGGCGGCGTCCGAGTCGCGCCTCTGTCGAGACAATCCCTTCGACCTCTGTCGAGACAGCCCTTCCTACCCTCTGCAGGTAGCAAAGGATGCACTTTTCCGGCCCCTCTTACATTCGTCCTCAGCAACGTTACATTGAATAAAATGTTAAAATACGCGTCGCAACTTGACGCGTGCGACCGTCCCATTACATTACCTTTGTTGACTATCGAGATGATTTTTAATGTGAAGTCTTGGTGCAACGAAATTGAGGAATATGCAAGAAAAGAAAGGGAAAAAAGGGGGCAAGAACAATAGAACGAATTTTTTGCAGCTTTGAAGAGAGAACGAGCAAGAAAAAGGAAAAAAGGAAAGATTTTCTTGGTGTATCTTAAAAGGATGTTGAGACTTCTCATCACTTTACAATTCTAATTCTTCGTGCATTGAATTTTGTGTCCTTCCGTTTCATTGTCAAATTCTGGATGTATATAGTCAAGTCACAGGGAATGCCCACAGCAATGTCTCAGATCTTTCTTGGTATGAAAGATTTTCGATTTTTTATCATTGTTCATTAACTCTTTGGGATCTGTGTTTCTGTCAGATTTTTATTTGAAAGGCACTGATGCACTACTATGGTGCACTTGCAACGTATTGGAACTCAAAACAGGCATTTTGGTGAAGTAACATTGAAGATATCAATTTTCAGTATCGGATGACATATTTTGTACTTAACTAAATTTTTGGAGCAGCTGGGAATTGGCCTAGGATGTCGTGTTTGCCTCTCCGGCACTATGGCCACTGAGCTTTTGTAACTTGCTGATATCAATTGCGTGTATATCATAACTACGTTTAACCCATTAGTCGTCTAATAAACTATCTAACAAGTTAAAATTCTAATATAATGAACATGATAGAAATAACTTAATGCACAGTCCTCGTCATTCAGTCGAACTTTGCATCACTTAGGAATTCAAAAACGGATGAAAAATAGATGTTGATTGTGACTTGACATTGGAGAGGAAAAGTAGGGTAATTTGAAGGGTACCTGTCTTGCTACCTTTAATTTTGATTTAAGTCGTCTTTGTCCTTAAGTCTCTTAAAATATGGTAACTTTGGTGTCCTGGGAACTGTTATGTTCATGTGAGTTTATGTGCATATGATTGATGTTTCTTTCAAAAACAACAAATTGTAAATATGTGGCAACAACTGTAAACTACCCTTAGGGAATGTCAATAACCTTTAAATTGTACTAGTATGACCAGAAAGTAGATAGTGTAGTGTGCTGTCATGTGATAAATATTTGTAAGAATATGAATTTCTTTGCCCTCTTATATGCACTTCTTTGTGGATAAAATGTTGAAGCGACCTTGTAGCTATAAGGTAATTATATATCAGCTTTCATTTCCCAGCCTAAACGTGACATCATCCGAATCCGAGAGAACTTTCCATTTTTCTCTTTTAAACTTTTCTCCTCCATGTCTTTTGAAGCAGAATCTATAAATTAACAAAATCATGAAAAACATCATATTAGTAATAATAACTTGTATCAATAGTGAGAGTAATAAATCCACGAAATACTGCAGAAACTTGCTGCTAGTTATTTTTCCTTCCTTGTATGTATATATGTACGTATATTCATGCATGCATACTTTTGCTGTTCGTTCGACGAAGTGCTGACTCAACTCTCTTGCTAACTTACGGAAACTATTGCTGCGCTTATCTTACCTTAAAGAAGATGCCAAGACTGCATTCGAGCCCACGGACACCGCGTTCAGAGAGTTGAGTAGGCGTTTCACCCGGGAAACGAGCCCTCGCCTCCCCGGGCGACATAGTCCAAATCTTCGGCGAGCAATTAAATAAACACCCGGTATATAAAATGAAAATTTACATATACTGGGTCTTAACTCTCTTCGAGCACCTGTTTTAATTTTGGCATTTTGGCTACCGCATGCCTTTGACTCCTTTCAACCATGGCTAGCATTATAGACAGCAGAGGAGGTAAGCGTTAGGTCATTAGCCGCAGCAACTGTTTCAGAGCTTTTCCCTTTCATGAGCTTAGGCAGGCAGGTACACGGTTCACATGCCAGAATCTTTTTGCGCTGTGCAAAGTGGGTGTAGTGGATAGAGACATAAGTGGACAATCTCTTTGGGCAATTTTGTCCAGTATACTTAAGAAACAAAACTAATAATGATGTGAGGGAAAGTTGTGTGATTAATTTATTGACTTACTAACAGCAACACGTCAATAATTATTTTTAAAAAGCTGGCTCAGAGAGAACTCTGAAATATGTCATGAAACATTACCACCAAGCTCTTTATTATTATTATTATTATTATTATTATTATTATTATTATTATTATTATTATTATTATTATTAATGATCATCATCATCATCATCATCTTACATTATTCAGCAGTATCTATGGTCGGTAATGTCAACCAAATTTATCTCATGGCACAGGTATGATGACCAAGGTGTGTGGTTGCTTTAACTGAAGGGTTCAGAATGGCTTCTGACAATAACGGCATGTATTCAAAATTACTGTCTTTTGCATATTAGTATACATTCCTGGTATCAAGTGAAGACACTCCAGTGCCCCGAAGAGTGTCGCATTTCAGGACAGCGGCTCAGCTAGGCAGCGTGAAGAACTGTAGGTTCTTAGGACTTAGTTATAATGCATATCTTGTGTAAACAGATTACATGAGCGGGTGGAGGGGCACACGAGCGTCGGGTAACTTTACTGAAAGTTCCACTGAGTTGCGACTTCATAGGCGAGATTGGTATAAACTCGTTGCGAGCCACTATCGATAGGTCTCTTTAAGCCAAGATAAGACTGTGGGGTGTTGTGAGTTAGGTTTAGTGGGTGCAATAGTAATGGGCATCGTATGTAAGTGGAATGATAGAGAATCCTGTTATGACGTTATATAATTCGTGAAGAGAACCCTCGCTGTTGGTTTTCTAATAATGTACGGTTATATCTGGTCATTGCCGCCGACATGTTCTGTCAGTGGGGAATAATGGAACGATCCCAGTAGAGTGGTGCTCACACTTTCAAGCAGCATTCTGAGGCACAATATTTATAATACGGCACGGAAGTTGCGAGTAAGCCCGTTCTCTACGCCAAATTTAATTGGTGTTATCCTGCTTCGCCACTTCATTCACTGCCTCTTTTTGTATTCCACCCTGTGCGTGGCCTGCTACATCCACTTGTTACGTGTTGGATAGTTTGCTTGCGCCTCACATCTTCTACACGAGTCGGAATGATGGTGAATCTCTCAGAATGTGTTTTCTGTAGTTCAATGGTTTGGTATCCATTGGTCCTGGATAGCTTATCAATGAAGGCTTCTGTCTTCCGGAAGAGATCCCCGTGCTCGGAGCCATGCGTGCGAACCGCAGAGATTGTCGACTTCTGGTTTACTCAGCTCGTGAGGGTACCTTCCATGGCAAGTGCCTTTGCTTTCCTAAGGTTATCTTCTCTTCCCGTTTCAATGATTGGTTGAACAGGCGGATCAACTTTTCAAGTTCAGAAAGGACTAGAGTTATTAATTACTGCGCCTCACTGCCTTGGCTGAACTCCCCACATGTCTCCAGAAGTATCTTCTGAGTCGAAGCAATTTGAGAGCTGTGTAGATTTATGAGATCTAACAAATACCTCGCCCGCTCCTTGCGACCTTGGAAGGGTTAAAAAACGCTCAGTAAACTTGAATGGGGATGATGTTTCGTGTTGAGTCATAGCGGTCGAATTGTTCTCTGGCAGGTTTGTTCGCGGTCGGTAATTGCTCCATTTAAATAACCAAAAAGGAGTATGTCAGCACTGGAATAACAAATGAATTGAATGCGCCTGCGCAAGATTTCTAGCAGAGAGTTGAAGTTTTTTAAAGAGCCCATGCAATCACGTTTACTACCCCTTTCCATTTGTTAGTATAGTTTTTAGTAAATAACAAGCTGTGTTTCAATTCGCGAGTGGACTGTTGGAAACCCAAGTAATTTGTAAGTTTTCATGGGGTTCCCATGAAGGTAATCTTTGGTTCATTATCAAAGTTTCCTAAATTTTATAAATTGCATATTGACCCCGAATGATATTTAACTCTTCTGCACTTATCCAAAACCGAATTTCATCTGTGATGTCGTTCAGTGAACTTCTCCGTCTTCGTTATTAGTTGCCACATATCACTCCTCAGTGTCTACCATAGAGCTTCAAAGGTCTCCATGTAAAGATGACGTGAGACACGGAGAAGAGTTGAGTTCCACCGTATTTTAAAAAGCGGATTCCCATAATTAGATGAATTAAGTAGAAGTAGACACGTGGAATTCAAGGCTAAGCAAGAACAATAAGGGGCTTAAAGAAGTCACCCGGAAAATCCCTCGGCGGATGTGTATAGTATCCTGTTGTGGACGGATTGTTTTTCCATTAAGACGGAGATACAGTTTTGTATTCCATCGACTCCATCGCGGTTTTTCAAGGAAGTTTTGGATTAACGGGTGGACCTTGTATACATCCAAACATTGAAGGAGCCAAGAATTGGGCAGCGGTGTCGAATGCTGTTAGCGCTAATCTATGTAGCGCAGTATGTACAAGTTTCTTTGTTTTGCAAGCACTTGCCCCATAATTACAGAGTCTATAAGAGTTGCTCCCTGCATCCCTGGAGATCCAGGTCTAACATTTTTTCTGTTCCTTTGCTAAGAATGTTCTGTCTCAATGTGTGGTCAATCATTCATTTGTGAAACACAAGATGTTATGAGTTGTAGAGTTTTACAGGCAGGTT